GACCAGCCCCAGCACGGCTCTGGCTCCCCGCAGGGTCCCTGGGCCATTCTCTCACGGGGCGCTCAGAGTCTGGAGCCATCACCAACGCCCTGCAGGCACAGAGCTGCGGCCCCGGGAAACGCCCTGGCATTCATCAGGTGCTGCCACACCAGTTCACAGACACCCCTGGTGTCAGCCACCCCTCCCCATCTGTCCTTCATCTCCCTTGGAAATGTTTCCTTACAGTTGTTTCACAGTTTTATACACTTCTCAAGGTTGAGCATTCAACTTTTGAAATACAACTAAAAGATATACTTTTTTTTTTTTTTTTTACTACCTAGAAATAATCCAAAGCTCACCAACACCTAAGATCATTGTTTCAGTATTGTTACTGAGAGAGAACTGAAAACACTTGCACCACCACATGACTGTGAGGCATGTCAGCTGTAAGCCACTGAGCAGTGAACTTCACAGGTAAAACGTGGTAAAGCCTTCATGGAAAACTTCCAAATGTTGTTGAAAAGGAGTAATCAATCGAATGACCAAAATCTAACATTACCTACTTACTCTAAATCAAACTTATTACAAATGTCATCAGAAGAACTAAGTAACATTTCTACAGCGTACATGTACAGATTCTGTCATTTTATGCATCTGCTGGACACGCTACAAAAGCATCAAGGTGACCAAGCCCCTCCCTCCACCAGGTAAGCTGTGGGTCCTGGAGCCAGGCAGGTGCTACCCAGGAGTGGTGACACCTCTGTCACCTGCGGGTACTGGTCCTTTGTACAGAAAGGTGAGTGTCCAAAGCTCAGCACAATACTGGTGTAAAACACAGCGTATCATGAGGTAGAATTAAAAAGGTAACACTCAGTGCATATTCACAGGCATAGCATTACGGTCACTAGGGATCCACCAGTCTGAGGAGGTTCTGACAGCAAAAACAAAAACAGCCTTGGAAAACACAGACAGACCCACCCAAGAACCACAGCTTTGGTCCTGTGGGTGCTCCTGCACCTCCAAAACAAACACTGTGCAAGCCTGTGAGAACTCCAAGATTCTCCCAAGTGTCCCTGTAGTCCCTTCCATGATGTGTAATAAAACATTAAATAAGGTGAGAAACAGCAGCCTGGCAGTGGGACAGCAAATGCTTGGGAGAAAGCTGCTCTAGTCCAGGGCAGAACCTGGGGGGTTTTTTTCCCCAAGCAGCTTGGCCCATTACAAACTCCTTGTAGCTCTTTCTTTGCATAAAAATCTTGTATCCTATCCTTGTTCCCAAGTTTCCTGCACACTTTACTCCCAGGGCGTTGAACCACAGCCAAGGGAAGAGCCCTGAGCTGCTTGAACAACGCAGCAGACCCACCTGCCCCACTGCTCAGAAGGGATGTTTGCCCTCAGATTACCAAACACACAAAATCGAAGGCTTTGTATTGCCAAAGAAATTCTCCAAAAGAGGAAACAGGATTTTTTTCTCTCATAATGCAGAGGAGGCTTAAGTTTCAATGAATTCTGCACCAACACCAGGGTATACTACCCACATAAATACAAAGCTACATGAGAGTCCTCAGGCTTACCTTTCCAGCTCTCTCACGTCCATAAATGTTGTCTTTATCCCCAAATACGTTTTGCAAAAGGCTTTGTAAGAGTCAGTTTGGAACAAGTGTGCTCCGTTGAGCCAGAGTGAACCTGAACACCAGCAGGTGACAGTCCTTCCAGGTAAAGTTCCCTGCTGAACTGAGTGTCTGACTGGTCTGCAGTGAAATACTAAAAAAACCCCATCTTGGAACATGTCAGTGATGAGAATGTTATAAACTGATACTGATGTATCGTACACGACTGAAATACCTGTGCATTTACAAGGTTAGCTCAATTAACTCGAGGGCTGAAATCTGGCATTCATACTTTGGGTGTGGCCATTGAATCACAGAATACCCTAAACTGGAAGGGACCCACAGGATCATCAGTCCCAGCCCTGTCACTGCACAGACACCCCAAAATCCCACCCTGGGCAGCCCTGGCAGTGCTGCCCAAACGCTCCTGGAGCTCTGTGCCCATTCCCTGGGGAGCCTGGGCAGTGCCCAGCACCCTCTGGGGGAAGAACCTTTTCCTAAAATCCAGCCTAAACCCCCCTGGGCCAGCTCCAGCTGTCCCCTGGTCCTGTCCCTTGTCACAGAAGAGATGAGTACCCGCCCCTCCACTGCCCAAAGGAGCATGCTCAAGAGCACAACGAGATCCCATCTCAGATTCCTCCAAGCTGAGCAAACCAAGTGATCTCAGCTTCTCCTCGTATGGCTTCCCCTCCAGACACTTTCACCAGGGTGAGTGCTGCAGTGTTTCACACCTGATGAAAAGCCTACTTAAATCCAGGTAGATCTCACTGTTGACAGGTTTGCTTTTAATCCCCTCCTAACCTGACAGCAGGTGTGAAGAAAGGCTCATCCGGTGACACTGGGGACACACCCAAGTGAATTTCTTCCACAGCAAGAGTGCGTGTGGAAAAACAGCCGGGTGGGAAACACCCAAACATCAGCAGAAAGCCATCGTGCTTCAGATGTGGGATGATGTGGAAAGCCCCCTGCAACAGACACTTGGCACAGGAGGGGCCAGAGCTGCCCTGCAGGAACCCAGAGGGATCCGCTGGGCCAGGGTCCTCCCCAGTGCTGAGGGGCAGGCTCAAAGAGTGGGCCTGGGTGACTTCCAGTGGTCCCTGCCAGCCTAAGCCACACCATGACTCATTTTTCTAGCCAATGACAACCACATTAACATAGAAATGAAAGAAAAATTCGGTTTTGTTTGCTTGTTTGGGTGGTTTTTTTTTGGTGAGAGTAACTAACCGTGTTGCTTACGTAGACAAGCAGTCCATCATCTACTGATCACCACAGAGTTGCTTCAGTGACAGAAAGGGAAGCAGAGGTGAGGCAGTCCATCTCCTCTGGGACAGCAGGTACCTGGGCACCCTGCCCCTCTGCGTTGTTCCAAACAGCCCCGGGGAGCTGTGCTGAAGGAGACAATCAAGTGTCAGGGTACAGACGCAGCAGGACAGCCCGATGGCACAGCAGCAGAGCTGTGCTGTGGCGCCGGGACACGGTGCAGGGCTCACGGAGGCAGGACCACGAAAAATCCTTCCACCTCCACGTCCCCAGGTCACGGTGACCTCCTCTGAGCTCGGAGATTTCGGAGGGAGCACACCTGCCCCGAGCTGCAGCCAAACCCAGGAGCAGGCGCCGCTGCTGCCGCTAGAACTTTGGCTGGTAGAGCGAGACGCGTCCGCTAAGGCACCCCGAGGCGATCTGACAGTGCGTGGGCGAGAACTTGGTGGTGAGCACCACGTCGTTGTGGGAGTAGAGCGAGCGGATCTCGCGCAGGGGGCTGGCCTCCCGCGGCAGGCAGTCCACCAGCTCGCTGCAGTGCGCGTCGAAGCCCAGCAGGCGGATGCCGAAGCCGTGCGGCGAGGAGATCATGCGGCCGTCGGGGCTGAAGCACAGCTCCTTGATGTAGCCCCGGCCCACGTTGGCCTCCTCGATGCAGTGAGTCAGGCGCAGGGAGCAGCGCGGGGACACGGGGCGCACCGGGGCTCCTTCCTGGAATTCATAGACACAAGTCCACTAAAGGGAGAGGCAGAGAAAGGGACACTGAAAGAGAAGTAAGGCACTGCAAACGCACATTCCCTCCCCCCTGCACACCCCAGCGGGTGACAGCAGCTCCCGTGAACGTACCAACACCCTCCTGGCACAGCTGGGTGATGCTCCAGCCGACCTGCTCTTCCATGGGCAGCCCCCTGCCTCGGCACCTCCCTCCCCGAGAGCCACCCCGGCATTTTAACTAAATGGCTGCCAGACAGAAGCTTTCCAGTCTAGGTTGCATCTGCAGAGAGCAAAGCCTAATCCTTTAGCCAGGCACCTGCTCCAATTTAGTGAATATTTAAATTAAATCTATAAATTCAGTTGACTGCAACTCCGAGCAGATCACTGGCATTTTATGCCTTTGACTTCCATAGGAATGGAATCTTGAAATAAGTGGGTAGCAGATTTTTTAAAGAAGGTTATAAACAGCTCTACGGCCAGTTTGTTATTTTGTGAGACACATTAGGGATCCCTGCCTGCCATCTCATTATATAACCTCAAAACCAATGTAAAAAAAAAAAAAAAAAAGAACGACAAAGTTTATATCGCCTTGATCCCACTTCAGCCCTAAGATAAACATTCCTAGCTCTGTTTCATGCATCCTTCTGAAACAACACAACAGGAAAAACACCAGTGAATATTAATAAGAGTAAGGGAGACTTTAGGACTAAGAGAAACTATAACTCAGTCAGTCATGAGCACCAACTGGCCCAATGTAACATTTTGCATGTTACAAAAATTCTGTGTTGTATAGCAGTTTGATTGTTACAGAACCAGCATTAAAATTTATAACCAATCTGCTAAGCTTTAACTCACTCCTCTACACTTGTGTAAAGGGTTATGGTTACAAAGAGTGGCTTTCTTCAAAAACAACAAAAAATTCCCAAACAAATACACAAAGAGGGAAAAAAAAAACAAAACACCAAAACCAAATGAACCTCAATTTACATCAGCAATCAAAGTACCTAAACCATTTATTATTGGTCAAGTACACTGCTGGTCAAGTTAGAGGAACAGAATTTGCAGAGTGCAGCTGAAATGTAGCTGGACTTACGACTCCCTGCATCAAGGAAAGGGCTGGGAGCAGGTTCTACCAGGAAGATAATTTAAAAAAACCACAGATATATCTGACTACACGTATTTTAAAGAAGAAGATGTGGTGCTGTGTTACCTCCTGGTCATCTGTGTTGCTGGAGCACCGCAGCAGTGTGGCCCAGCCCTTGGGGTGCAGCTGCAGTGACGTGATGCAGTTCCCACGATCTCTTTCTCCAGGAACCTCTGGTGTTAACACCTCCAGGCTATTTCTGGGTGATCCCCCTGCCAGAGGAATTAACTGTGAGCCTCTGTGAAATCCACACATTGACCTTTTTGCCTCTCTCACCAGTCCTGCTGCTGAAATGGGGTCACACCTGTGCCAGCTGCACACAGCTGCCAGGACAGGGACACTCAAAGGGTTACAGGAACCCTGAGCCAACACCAATGGGTTCAATCCTCACTTCAAACAGCTTCTTTTATAGAAATTTCAGTGCCAAGACCTGCACTGAACCAACCCAAACTGACAGCTGCATTAACCCTCCACACTTATGCTCCTCATTAGCATTACAGCAAAATCTAAAGAGTGAGGTATTTGTAAGAATTGCTGATTCTCAAACTTGTATGACATGCTCTCCGAATTCCCTCCACTGCTTGCTCAGCTTGCAGCTTTTAGTCCTTCTTCCCCTCACCCCCAGGTAAATCACTCCCTGACATCCAGGTAAAGTTCCTCTCAGCAGTATGCTTCAGCATCTCACAACCATGGGGAGCTAAAAATAATCATCACATTTCTTTGAAACTGCAAGGAATGAAAAAGTATTCATCCCTTTGCCAAGTTCATGCTGATTCTCTGGATTTTCCCTTAAAGATCATTCACACAAACTTTGTTCAAGGAAAAGGGAGTACCTCTATTTAACAACAACATGTTGACTTAAAATACAGATCTTGTAACTTTTCCCAGATTTCTCAGACATAAAAACCGAATAGATCCCCAGGCTTTGGTGTGCAGTGAGATTTTATTGGTTTAATAAAAGTCTCAGCAACACCATCCTTCAAAAACCACAGGACAAAAATGCAGTTTTTCACTATTGTACTCTCGCCTCTTCTGCACACAGTAAATCAAAGTCCAGTATTTCTTTTGATTTATCTTTTTTCTAGTGATCTTCTCCTACCTTCTCGCTGCGAGGGCCGTGACAGGGTTTTCTCAGAGAGCGGCCCTGAGTTGTTCTGGTGACAGGGCGAGCCCACAGCTCGAGGGCCAGAGGAGCCTGACGACGATATGTCTGCAAACAGCACCAGAGACATGAGCCCACAGGCACCCCAGCACACGTGGGCCGCTGGCCAGGAGCACCCACCGAACACCCCAGCACAGCACCCGCCACAGACCTCCCCACCAGCACTCACCTGAGCTCGATGTGGTCCTCCGGGCTCTTAAAATCGGGTAGCTGCCAACCTCCAAAGACTTGTTTAGATCAAGGTCGTGCAAAATCAGAAGGTAACCAGAGGAGGTGGAGATCAGCATTTTGGAACAGTCTGGTGTCAGCCTCATCCGCATCAGAAAACGGGTGTGGAAAAACTTCTTGTGGGGACATCCATCCTCTGTGCACCTGGACAGCAAAGCAAGCACAGGAGGGGGCTGTGGTCAGCTCCAGGCCCTGCCTGTGTCCAAAAGGGTCCAGAATGTGCCCAGCCTCATCCATTTTGTTCACCCCAAAACCTTTTTTCAAGTACTATCTTTATCCTACTTTTTAATGGAATGGGTGAAGTCACATATTCCTACAGCTAGTATGACGAGGACAGAACCTTCCTCGGAAGGAAGAACTTTGTTTTGGCACATCAGACAGGGAAGCTCCTTCCTAGCCATTTCCTCTTACCAGAGGGCTGATGCAAGGGTTGGTAAGGGCTACAAAGCCCTCCCGGTGTTCCAGAACACACTGCAGCCCCACTCTGGGAGGCAGGTTTGCACCTGGTGCACCTGTCCTCGAGTGCTGCAGAAAGGCCAGGGGCCAGCACAGCCACGCACCTGTTGGTGTCCCAGATGATGACGTTGCCATCAAAGCCCGAGGTCACCAGCAGCCTGGTGTTGGTGTCGTACTCGATGTTCTTGACCCAGCTGGTGTGGCCGTGCAGGGTGCACACTTTGGTGTTGAGCTTCCTCAGGTCCCAGAGAGCGATGGTGGTGTCGTCGGAGCAGGTGGCAAACAGCCGGTTGTCCAGGAACCTGGGTCAGCAGGGAAACACTGCTCAGGACAGCCTCAAGGGCGAATAGGAGTGCAGGCTGCCCTGCCCTGAGCTCAGAGTGCCAGCTAACACGGAGATAACACAGCAAACAAACAAAGCTCCCCCGAGCTCACCGCAGAGCATGCCAGCCAATGCTCCGCTACAAGCAGAGCTGCTGGGATGGGAACAGGCAGTGCCTCTGCAGCAGCAAACGAGCAAACACAGACACAGCAGACGTTTGGTTTGGTTTGGTTTGGGGGCTTTTTAGGGAGTTTGTTGTAGGAGAATAGTTTGTAAGTATAGTGCAGGAGGCAATCGTTCCCAACGAATTACAGCTGTACTGATTGGAGTCGAAAGAGCCTTGCCTGCCCAGTGAGGATGGGTGTTATAAAAGTGTGGGCTAGCTGGCCACCAGTTATACTTGCAGCCAGCTGGAGCTTGAGATCCAGAGTCTGCTGCAGTTTGGGATGGAGTGTGCTGGCTGTGGTGTGAGGAGGAAGGGACAGGCAGGGTCAGAAGATGCTGTGTGAGACAGGCTGGGCTTAGCCAGTCATGCAGAAGGAAACTTCCAGAGAGGAGAGAAGGAGTCAGTGCTGTGTGGAGCTGCCTGTGCTGCTTGAGAGAAGGCAGGTAAAGTTTTTAATAAAGGACTGGTGTTGGCGCCAGTCGTGTCGTCTCCATATAATTACTACAGTTTGTGTGTTAATGAGTTGTGTGCAATCCACACGGGAGCCAAACCACCAGTGGAGCACGTGCTCACACTGAACCCCCAGGTAACTCAGTCTGCTCCCCCTCTGGACAGCACCCAGCTCAGCAGGGCTGGGAGCAGCACAGCTAGGAAACAAACTGCATACACGGAGTCTAGAGGCCACTGAAGCAAATGCAAGGCTTTTCAAAAACGACGAGTGAGGATGGAGCCTTGTTTGAGGACACACCAACACAAGTTATTTGGTTCAGTGAGAAAATGAACGGGTGAAATCACCGAGTTTGCACTACACAGATCAAAGGTGAGCACCACAGGAATTCAGGCATGGCTTCACTTTCAGAAGGACAAGGCATGCAGGCTTAGGTTTGGCATTCATTTGATGAAGGCACTCAGTTAAGAAAACCCCTACCTGTGGTAAAAGGAACAAGACATCCATCCAAAAAACATAAACTAAAAATCCTTTAAGCCTAGAGCTACACCACACAAAAGCAGCAACAACTCTGACAAATGAACAATAACCAACTGTCATGGGAAAAATCCCAAACTTTGCTGAAGAGTAAGCATTTTTGGTGCTTACAACAAGGAACTTCTGCAGTACTACAGTGACTGAAATCCTGCTCATGAACTTGAACAAGGCTCCCGGTAATGCTGTAGAAGCTGTGTGCAGAACAGAGTTTAGTTCCTTTGTGTCACACACATTTTAATCCAGGTTTCCTGGCAGACAATCCAGCTGATGTTAAACATCAGCCTTTTGTAGAAAGCAAAACCAGCTTGAGAAAAACATAAAGTTATCTGATGAACGTGGCACCCCACATCATATTTGGCTCTTCTGAGTAAAAACACTCAGAATGTTCTACAGTTCTCTTGGGGATTTTTGTTTTGGTTTAGCTCTTCATTGAGGTTTCTTGTTGCCGTGTAGATGGTTGTTGTTTTGGGGTTTTGGAGTGGATTTTTTGGTTTGAGAACCTGAGTGAAGAGCAGCTGCAATATTGTTAGAAGATACCTTAAATTCAGACCTCAAAATCTATTCCATAACCAGAACAGCTTAAAACCCCTGAATTTATAAGAAAAAATACTTCATGATAAAAATAGTGATGGACTTAGCTCTTGCTATTTCCAGCTCTAGCCCAAGAAAGTGGCAGAGGATTTAAACTATAATGCCTAAGTACATGCTGAGCTGTGTCCAGACGTCCCTGCTGACCTACCTGATGTTATTTACACAGTCCTCATGAGCTTCAGAGAGAGTCTTGATGTGCTTTGAAGATATTGGGTCAAAGAGCAGGACTTCAGTCTGTTCACAGGCGACCGTCAGCACTGACCTGCAGGGAGCAGAAGAGAAAACTCCGTGTTTGTGGTGGGTTTTGCCCTCCAGCAGGTGCCTGTCATGCTACAGACTGCGTGTGTCACCTGGTCCCTCTGCCAACCTTCTGCCCTCACCTTCCAGGGGGTCTGATACAGAAAAAGCAATACTGAATCAAAGATTTATCTGCAGTATCTATTCGCCGTTTTGCAAACCAGTCGGGTTTTTTTTCCACTGAAACCTTGCAAAATACAGATTTAGCAGCAGCGGGGGACCCCCGGCACCGGTTTTTAGGATTGTCCCCCCCGGCCCTCTCCTCCTGCAGAGTCCCTGCTCCACCCAGGTGAGGTGGGAGGAGCACAGGACGGCACCTCCCGCCAGGTACCGGCCCCACGTACTCCAACCGCAGCCCAGGGGTGCTGCTGACGAAAACAGCGATGACACCTGGTCACCAGAGCGGGCTTTGCGCCCCGGGACCCGCGGGCACACCTGGATGGGCACACCTGGCCGGGGAGCCCAGTACAGCGACACCGGGAGCGAGCGCCGGGCACACCGGGGCGGCGATCCCGAGCACACCTACCCGTCGGGCGAGTACTCGAGGTTGAAGACGGCGCCGTGCGTGCGGGTGCTGAGGGACACGGAGTCCGCGGGCTGGATGGCGCCGTACAGCCCGGTCATGGCGCCGAACGTGTCCCGCGCCGGGTCCACGGCGGCCCCGCGGCCCAGGCAGCGCCCGCGCAGCCACGCGAAGAGCCCGCCGGGGGCACCGGGCCCCGGGTCGGCGGGGTCGCTGTGGCGGGCGGGCTCCGGGTTGGGCCCTGGGTCCAGCCCCGGGTCCAGCCCCGGCCCCGGCTCCGGTCCCGGGCCCTTGCTCATGGCGGCGGCAGCGCCGGCCCGCGTCCGCCCCCTACCGGCCACCCCGCGCCACTGCGCCTGCGCAGCCCCGCCCCCGCCCCGCCCCTGACGGCACCGAACAATCATTGCGCCTGCGCAGCTCCGCCCCTGCCCCGCCCCTGACAGCGCCGCCGTGTCACTGCGCCTGCGCGGCCCCGCCCCAGGCCCCGCCCGTGTAGTCACGTGTTGGTCTCCCCACGTGACCGCGGTCCCTCAGGTCCGGTGCCGCCGCCGCTCGCTCGCCTGGGGCGGCTGCAGTACTCGGTACCGACGGCTGCCGGCCCGCCCGCTCTGCTGCTTGCAGGAAAAGGGAACGGCGTCCTAAGAGGGGCTTGGCTTGCTGTCTGCGCGGAGCCACGGGAGTGAGGCCGGGCAGTGCCGGCCCTGGGGATGGCCAGCACTGACTCCAGACGGAGAGAGCAGCTGTGCCTCGGGCTGCTCGGCGTGAGAACTGAGATACAACTGCAGACGGGGCTGGGTACTAATTAATAGAAAAGAGATGTAATGTATAACCAGCTAATGCTGTTGTCTTTGTACAGTGTGTAAACAGGTTTGGCGTTTTGTAGGAACCACGGCTCCCGCTGTGTGCAGACTAGGATAAAAAGCCAGGCTGAGCCCCAAATGCCTCACTCGAGTGTGTGAATGGGGGCTGTGCCTCGGGAACGAGCCCGCGTTGGGGACAGTGCCTCTGGGCCTGGGCTCACCCTAGGCCCAGCTCTCTGTGCCCTCTAAAACACAATTAGCAGCAGGATTTTTTCCAAAACTACCCAGGGAAGATCAGTGTCCCCCCTCCCCACAAAAGCCACTGCTTTAGCGGACTATGAATATGTTTTCACTAAGTTTTTATAAGCGTACTGACACAGTATTTTTATAAACACATTAAATGTCAGGTTTTTTTTTTTTAAACAACGTGTTCTGAGCTTGTGGAAGATGCTACTAAGATCTCTCTGGCAGAGAAGTCAGGAGAGGCCCCCTTAGCCTGGTCTGGTGCTAGGAGGTGTAGGACAGGTGCCAGCGAGGATGGGATCTGTGACAGTCCCAGGCTCCAGTCCAGCAGCAGGACCAGCCCCTCCTCTGGGTCTGTTTTGAGCTGGGAGTGTCACTGTGACCTCTCTCTTATCCCCAAAATGTTCCTTCTGTCTCTTACAGATGAACTCAGTTTTCCTCCAAAATATTCCTTGTCCCTTGCATGTTACCTCATGTTACCAAAATTTTCTCTACACGTCTACTACTGACCACTTCTGCCAGAAAATTGCCAGCTCAGTCTCGGGTCTGCCTCGTTCCTGGGGACCTGCTAGGGCACGTGGGGTCCTGGTCCCCACAGAGACCTGCCCCAGTCACAGAGATGGCACAGTGGGGCCACTGCAGGGTCTGGGACCAGGAGGAGCAAAGTGCACCCAGTGGGACATGCTTGGAATTCCAGTTTGTTCGAGGAGAAACAAGTCAGGAACTGCAGCAACAACCAGCACAGACCGTGCCATTAACTCTCTGGGCTTTATAAGAACAGCTTCTTGTCAGAGCAGTTCTGGGGAATGTAGCTGTGCCTCAGGGCAACAAATGCTCACCTAGGAAACAAAGAAAATACAAGTCAGTGTTGCAGCTCAGCCCAGGGGTGAGACACAACCCCCGGCCTCGTGGAACCAGGCCCCCCATCCTGCAAACACGCCGCAGGATTTCCAGCTCAGCCCTATCCTGTGGGCTGGAAGGAGTTTCCAAGAGGAGCTGCTTGCCTCAGGGCCCAGCCAGGGTTGTGCTGGACCTGCCTGGACATCCTGGTTTCCTCTGGGGTTGAGCTGATTCCTTCCTGCTGGGTGCAGTACCGTGCTCTGCTCTCAGGGTGAGGGCAGTGCTGGCCCCACCAAGGCTTTTCAGCCTCCTCTGCCCTGGCAGCAAGCAGGCCGGGGGGCTACAGCCAAGTAGTTTGTCGAGTTTTTCATGGGTCTGGGTCTTCAAGGAGACAAGAGCAGCTGTTGGTTGCTCTTGCTTTATACATAATTGATGCACGTAGTTTTATCTATTCACATAAATGGTTCTGTTTCATTTAGAAATGCAAGTCATGCTCTGTTTATGTTTTGTTTGGAGCTAAGTTACTGAACTTTAAAGTAGGCTTTAGGGCTTTTTACTCTCTTAAGGCACTTAAAGTATATTCTTTTTTACTTAAAACTGAAGTTTACACTTCTACCTCATGTCTGTGTGGGTTAATATATTTTAATTTCTCGAAAGGCTTTAATTCAATCCCTGCATTCTTTTCTCTCTCTGAGGGACTCAGGGAGGCTTCTATTTCATACACTCCACCAACAGCTGGTGCCAGCTGGGACAGCTTCATTTCTATCCCCTCCCTTTTGGTTCCCCCATTTTCCATACAGAGCATGATGCCATGCAGTGTGGGATGCAGATTTCCAGTGATCAGAGCTGTCTGGGGGCTGCTGCTCATGGCCTGGCCAGCCATCACTCAGTTGGCTTCCTGCAACTCAGAAGGCTGAGCTGCTCATGCAAATCTTCTGCCTCTTCAAATCAGAAGTAATTTTTTGGGATTGTCTATCCAAATTCCATCTGCTTACGCTTATCTCCATAGACACAAAAAGGGACAGAAAAGGAAGAATAACGATAAAATAATTAGAATACACAAAACAAGCGGTGCACGATGGAGGAGCCTCCCCGGGAAGCTGTCCCAGACTGACCAGGCCTGTGGCGTCTTGTGTGAGCTGTTGACTCGACAGACAGGGAGATTTGCTATTTCCAGCGAACAGGGAAACCACCTCCGGACCGAACTTCTGGGGCAGCGCGCCAAACATTTTGTGCCGGTGATAGCCGAGATCCTTGTCATGGACCGGCACCGGAACCGACCCGCTGGGCGGGAGAACGGGCTCCGGGAGCACCGGGGGAGCGGCGGGGGAACGGACGGACCCACCCACCCCGAGCCCGCCCCTTCCGCGGCAGCGGCGCGATGGAGGCCGGGGCGGCGGCGGGGATGGAGGCGGCGGCGGCGGCGGCCGAAGCGGCGGCGGTGGCCGAGGCGCTGCGGCTGCTGCGGATCGAGCCCTCGGCCGCGGGCGATCCCAGCGCGGGGCGGGCGAGCGGCGCGGAGGGGCCGTGCTCGGTGCGTGCGGGGCTCGGGGCTCGGTGCGTGCGGCGGGGCTCGGTGCCGGGGCTCGGGGCTCGGTGCCGGGCTCAGTGCTCGGTGCGTGCGGCGGGACCCCCGCTGACGGCCGTGCCCTCTTTCCCCGCAGAGGAACGCGCTGCGGAAGCGGCGGCGCTGGCAGCGCGTTCTCGCCGCCCGGCGCGGGAAGCGGCGGCAGGAGCGGCAGCGCCGGCGGGCACGGCGGGCAGCGGCGGACCGGGACGGCCCGAGCCCGGCGCTCGGCAGCGGCCCCGCCGGGCCCGGACCGCCCTCCGTCCGCCGCGGGAGGGTCCCGGCGGCGCTGGCCACGGAGCGGCTGCTGCAGGCGCGGGCGGCGGGGCCGCGGCTCTGCGTGGATCTCGGCGTGGGCGGCGGCATGACCGAGAAGGTGCGGGGGTACCGGGGGATGTCTGGGGTACTGGGGGCTGCTCGGGGGTACGGGGAGTGCCCGGGGCTCCTGGGGGCTGCCCGGGGTCCCGGAGCTCATCGGGGGTCCCGGACAGGCTGCGCACCACGTGTGTCCCCGCTGCGGGCGGGGCGCCGGGAGCTCGGCGGGACCCGCAGCCCCGGCCCGGGGTGACCGTGCCGCTGTGTCCCCAAGGAGAGCGGCCGGCTCGCCTCCCAGATCCGGCGGCTGTACGGGGCGAACCGCCGCGCCGCCCGGCCCTTCTGGCTGTGCCTGACGGAGTTCGCGGCCGGGACGCCGATCTACGAGCAGTGCTTCCGCATGAACGACGGCTTCGCTGGGTACCTGGTGAGGGTCTGCCCGCGCGATGGGGGACAGCTCAGCGCTGTGTCTGCAGCTTGTTTAGAATTAGACGGTTGTTGCTGCTCTCCCTTTCCCAAGGTACCCCGAGAACTTTTGATGAGGAGGGAATTGAATGGAGTTTTTAGGTGGGTTGATCAATGGCCAGAACAGAAGCATTGTGCAATTGAAAAAGAAAAACCCCAGTTCACTGGAGATCTGTAGGATCTACCAGACCTTTAGCAGTTGGTATGTCCGCAGCAGTAGTATCAGTCCTGGGATATCTCTGTGTCTGGGAGAGGGCTTTGTTCTGGCAGATATGCCTTAGGCTAAAGGGCTGATTCACTCTGCCTTTTGTTTTTGAGATGGATACAACTCCAGAGAGTTACCTGGACCTATTTCCTTTGGAGACCATTGTTTACCTCACTCCTGACTCTGAGAATGGTAAATATTCCACAAGGGAGACAAGGGAGAACAGGGGCAAAAGGCTGACTTTTAGAAATTTCATTTTGAGGCTATTCCATGCTTCATGCAAGTTGTTCCTGTCATGGGCTATCTGACATTGCATGAGACATGCTGTGTGCTCAGCTCTGGTGCTGAATCTGTACTGGTGGGACCTGTCTGCCCCTGGGGTGAGGAGGCTGTGCCCACTGCTGTCCTTGGGAGGGAGGTCTGCTGGGAGAGCACTGTCCTGCGGGATTGTCCTGCTGTGTGGTGGTGAGCCAGTGTTTGTCTCTTTCCAGTCCTTGAAGACATCGATCCGGACAAAGTGTACGTGCTGGGAGGGCTGGTGGATGAGAGCATTCACAAGGTGTGTGGTGCCTGCCCCGTGAGCAGAGACATCCCAGTGCTGTGGCTGCCTCCACCATCCCTTTTTCCTCACATTCTGCCTGCACCCAGCAGCGAGCTGGGCGAGGCTGCAGCAGTGCAGGTGCTGTGAGCCCCAGGGCAGGCTTTGGCTCTGTGGCCGTGCCCGTGGGGCCGTGTGTCACTGTGTCCGTGTGTCCCTGCAGCAGCTGACCCTGCGGAGGGCGCGGGAGCAGTGCCTGCAGACAGCCCGGCTCCCCATCCGGGAGTACATGGTGAGAGCCCCCAACCCCAGGAACTACCACTCCGAGACACTGGCCATCAACCAGGGTGAGCGTGCTGGGGCTGGGGGTCACACGGCAGCCGGGGGTGATCTCCTGCTCCCCGGGGAGCTGTGCACCAGGCAGGGGACAGCCGGGTGCTGGGGGGCTGCTGTTGGCACAGGCCACAGAGGGACGGGACTTTTGAGACCTGTGCCACCTCAGCCAAGCGTGAGAATGGCAGGGAGGGGTGTTGGTGTCCTGTGCCCCCATGGTCTGGCATACCTGGTCACTTTTGGTGACTGCAGAGGGGCTTGTGACCCAGGCCAGCTCCTCAAAGCTTTTCCCCCTGATGTGAGGATTGTGTTGGCACTCCATGGACACAGGGCAGAGGAGGAGGACTGGGAAGGAGAGCTGGGGGCTCTGTGTGCTCCAGGGGTGGGGTGTCCCTGCGAGTGGTAGTGGGAGCACGGCAGGTATGGCTCATGACAGCGGGGACACTGACAGGTGGCACATGTCAGCCAAAACAGTGACAAGGGCACCTTGCTCTAGGTGACACAGCCACTGCTTTGCCCAGAGTTCTCTAAAGTCCTCTCCAAAATACCTGTCTGCCCCTAGGTGAGCTGTTGCAAGCACCAGCTCATTAGGTGTTGAGTGAGTGACCTCCTCTGGGTCGGCTGTCGTCACCTCCCTGGTGTTTGGTGGGTAGAGCTGCTGGCACCACTGTCACAGCACCTGTGTGATCACCATCTCTCTGCTCCTGACAGTCTTTGATATCCTGTCCACCTACTACGAGACCAGGAGCTGGCCAGCAGCTCTGAGGGCTGGAGTTTCCTCTGGGAAAGGCTACGTGCTACCAGACACAGCAGAACAGGTGCAGACAGCCCAATGCGCCACTGCTGCCCAAGAAAACTCTTTATTTTGTGGTGAGGAGCTGCACAGGCAGGAAGCACCAGCATGACTGCACAGGAGACAGCTCTTTCCAGCAGTGTGAGGACTTTGTTGGAGCAACACCTTCTACCTCAGGAATGTGGTGCTGGACATCCCCCCTGCCCCTGAGCAGGAAAGAAGAGCCTGGTGGAGCCTGGATCAGGTGAAAACTGACGGAATTCAGTTTTGCTTCTTTGCAGCTGTTTGTTGTGACTGGTGCACCTACACTTGCTCTGGGATGGGAAGGAGAGCTTTAAGGGGTTTTCTTCATCTAATTGAAACGGAAAGTAAGGTGAAGTTAGGATTGCAAAGCTTATGGACAAGGAAATCCCCCTACCGTGGAACAGGGCAGTGCTGCTGCTGCAGGAGAATGCGGGGTGGGGAGCAGCTCCCACAGACACTATGTCCCAACAACTTAAACCCAGCGAAGATGTGGTCAGTTGTTGAGGCCTTTGGCTAGTTGTATGCATCTAATATAAAATAAAAGCTTTAGATCCCCATTGTGTACCTACAGTTACTGATGAGTGGTACCTCATCACCTGACACACACAGGTCCCTGACCCCCGTGTCTCTGCTGGGAGGTACCTGGGCTTGGCTGTGCCCTGCACAGAGCAGTGGCACAGCCACAGCCACAGCAGGGAGTGTGTTTGGTGCAGCTGAGTCAGTACATTACCTCAGCCATTGCTGCCAAAGGAGCCCTAAAACCTCATGGCCAGTGGCAGCAGGACCTGAAGGTCATCTGAGGTAAGTCTGGTTATGTGTTTTCATTCCTCTGTCGCAGCAAGACCCTTCCACAGTCCTGGGGCTAGTGTCCCAGTGCTTGTGGCACGGGTCTGCAGGAGCAGTGGGGGCTGCTGTGGTTTAACCCAAGCCAGGGGTTACCTGAGGTTAAGCCACAGCGAGGGCTCCGAGTGGTGTCAGTGTTGGCCAGTGCCTGCTGCTGTGCCCGGGGGGCTCTTGGTGAGCTGGATGTGGAGTGATCCCCTTCAGTGCCCCAGAGCCAGGGGACAGTGCTGTCCCCACAGTGCCTGGGGAGATGTGGGGCCATCACTCGAGCTCCTCTGTGCCCCTCAGCTGCCTAGAGCAGATGCCCTGGGTGCAGCAGCAGCTCCTTGGGGAAAGGCAGCCACCCCCAATATCCCCAGGCTGCACCCCAGCAAGGAGGGAGCGGCCTCTGCCCCTCCAGCCGAGGGGATGCTGAGCCGAACCACCTTGCAGCTCACACCTGGCCAGGGTGAGCCCTGCTGGGAGGGGGACGGGGCTGGGGACGCCCGTGGCAGTCCCTGCACAGCTCGGACTGCAGCGTCAGAGCGCAGGGACTCGCCCTTTCTGCTGGCACACAGAGCCCTGAGCAGCCCCGGGGGGAATGGGAGCTGCCCAGGGCCTGTCTCACTCTCCAGCACGGAGCAGCAGAGCAGCTGCTGAGCAGGAACTGCACGGAGCAGCAGCGCTGCTGCCCCGGCTGGGATGACCCTCTCCAGCTAAGGAAAAACAGCTGAATATGGGATCGCTGTGTTTCCTCGGCCACAGAGGGTGGAGAAAGTCACCTGGGGTCCTCCACGTTTGGCCAGGGTGGGGTTTGGTGTCCCTCTAGTGCAGAGCCTGGCTGGAGAGCAGAGTGAGGAAGGCTCCCACTCTTCCCCATGGGTGACAAAGGCAGCTGAGACAACCCCGTGAGACTGACCACCTGCACAGCCTGTGCGAGGCAAAGGATAGCCCTGGGCAACACACACACACTGCAGAGCACCTGGGGCACGGCTGCTCTTGGGGAGCCCAGTCAGCAGGTGTGGGCACATCCTCCCATGGCCATCCTGGGCTAAACATCGCCTGGGGGAGAGCCTGAGCTGGACAGAGGGCACACCTCGGGGCTCTGTCCCCCTCAGTGCCCTCGTGTGCCCCCAGCCTGCCTGTCACAGCCACGGGGATGCCCTGAACTGCTGCAGGAGACAGAAGATGGCAGCTGCTAGGGCCGTGTGCTGGCGGGCAAGGAGCTTGGTGCCCAACTCAGGGCAGACCTGCCCATGGAGCTGCTGGTGCAGAGCCTGCACCAGCTGCTGGTAGGTGCCCACCACATCCCCCAGCGCAGCTCCCAGCTCCTGCTGTCTCTGCCTGCACTGCCAGCAGTGTGTCACCTGGAAGCAGGTCACTGCCAGGTGAACCAGGCGGTCAAAAGTTGCTCTCAGGGCACACTGCACCTCTGTCAGAGGCTGGTCCGTGCTCAGCAGTGCCTGGCAGCTGGACAGCAGGTCCTGGGAAGCCCAGCCCAGGGCACCCTTGCTCTCTGCACCCTGCTCTGCACATTGGTCGTGCAGGTGGGTTGCCTGGTTCCCACAGAGCTTCCTTACAACCTCCTGCAGCTCCACGGTGTAGGCCAGGAAGCGAGAGAAATCCGCAGGGCTCACCCACGCCTGGTCCTTCAGCTGCCCCAGCACTCGGATGTGGGGGTCCTGCCCTGCCATGTCCCCAGCAATGGAGACGGGGAAACTGCTCCCAGGGGTCCTGGGCAGGCTGCAGCTGCTGGCTGGGGGGGTGGTAAGGGGCCCTGGCAGCTGGGAGGGGCTGGCTTCACGCTCCCCCTGGCCCTGGGGCTGGGGGAAGCAGCTGATGTAGGGCAGCCGGCAGCCGCAGCTGTCCAAGCCCCGAGGGGCTGGGGAGCAGCCCAGGGCTCGGGATGGCACGGGGAGTGCAGGGCTCTGCTCACCCTCCTCGGGCTTCAAACACAGCAAGGAGTGCTTGGCAGCCCCGCAGGCTCCTGCTCCTTTCCCCAAGGGAACGGGGACTGAGGAGGCGGAAATCTCTGGGGAGAGAGCCAGGCAGGAGCCCCTCCCCAGCCCTGGAGCCTGTGCTTTGGGAAGAGAAGCCTGTGGAGGCTGCGGCTCCTGCTGAGCCTCATTTCCTGCATCTGCCGTGGGCTCTGCCCCTAGCCCTGAGCTGCTCGCCAGCTCCCAGCCAAAGCCTGCCCCAACAGGGGATGTTGGCATCTTCCTTCCAACAGCACTGGCCCCCATGCACCTGCTGGTGGTCAGGCAGGCCAAAGGCTCAGGTGGGTCATCCACCGTGTCCTGCAGCAGGCTGTGTGACACGGGGTCTGTCCTGACCCCGAAGGAGAGCCAGGACAGGCGGGTGAGAACCCCCGGGGCACTGCTGCAGTCTGCCAGGAGCTGGGCTGCATCTGGGAACCCTGCATGGCCTTGGTGCACCTTCCTCAGGGTCTCCCCACTCAGCACTTGGGGGCTCCTAGCCCGGGACACGGCTCCCTGGCTACTGCTGTGGGCACAGCACTGACCAGCAGGATGGCCCTGGCTACCAGCACTGCCCTCGCCACTGACACAGCTCTGACCAGCTTTGCTCTCCTGACAGGGAGCCAGGGAAAGCTCCACACTTGTGGGGAGCAGCCCCTCCTGGAGCTCATCAGCAGTGGCCTTGTGCTGGGTGGCCACTAGCTCAGCCCCCTGCCCCTGTGCCCCCTGGGTCTGGCAGCCCCCGGTGGGTGCACAGCTCTCCTCACTCAGACACCCAGGATGTGTCTGCACTGGGGAGCCTTCCTGGGCAGCCCCACTCTGCCCTCCGGGCTCCGGGGACAGCACAGGGGGGAGCTGTGGCTGCGGGCTGCTGTGCTCCTCGCCACACTGGTCACCGGGATGGTGAATGTCCAAATTAGAGGAAACCAGCTGTTGCATCACTGGCTTTGTCTCCATGGTGTCAGGCTCCATGTCCATCAGAGCAGAGCAGGGGGCTGGGCCAGCAGTGTCCCTCTGGGCCTGGGTGGCCACAGGAATGGTGGCCATCTCCATGTCCTTCCCCGTGTCCTCGGCGGAGGGCTGGGTGGGCAGCCAGGAGCAGCAGCGCTGTGGAGAGCCTGGAAGAGCCGCAGGGAAACTGACCTGTGAGGTGTAATCAGTTTCCAGGAAAGACCTCCTCTTCCTCAGGCTCTTGGTGCAGGTCAGCTCCTTCTCCTGCCCGTGCTTCTCCCTCATCGATGGGTTCTCCCCCAAGCTGTAGCACCTCAGCCTCTTGGGGATGCAGGAGGAGTTCTCTGCACCCTCCCAGGATGCCATATCAGACCCTGAAGGCAAGAAAAAACATGGAAATCAGGAAGTAATCCCAGGGAGCAAAATGCCTGCACAGCGAGCCAAAAAGTTCCTGACACGCGATTTGGAATCACAGGCACAAATATGCAGCAGCAATGCCCGGTTCCCGAGGGCAAAAGGAAACGGTCTCTCGTGATCAAGTACCTCCTTGGAGTTGGATGTTAAGAAACGGGCAGAGCCTAGTGTGTGGCTACAAGCACTGAGGCCCACGGCTAGTGAAGAGGGCTCTGGAGTGGCTGCACCTGAAGTCAGGTGTGGCTGTAATTCCCCAGTTAAATCGGGGCACAGCAGCAGCACTGCAAGAGCACTGCCCACAGCTGTAGGCTTATCATCAAATAGAAACACGGTCAGAGGTTCCCACCTGGATGTTTAGACGATAACATCTTCCAGAGATGAGTTTTCTGCCTGAACACAGTACAGTGACTGTGCATTACTATAAAAGCCAAAGCTGCTCTAATGGCATGAATGAAATTCTTAAGAGGTTCAGTTAATATTGAAAGAACTGATTAGTTCAGAAACAAGAATCCTCTTGTTTCTGAGAAAATACAATGGCCAGGGGGCTGCCCAGCCCTGGGAATCCTTGACCCAGCTCTGTAACAAGCCTTTGAACCCGAACATGACCTTTGATCTTGGGGATTCAGGTAACAATGTTTTACAGGTCTGAGGTCCCCTTAGGTGAGAGGAAGAGAGTAGAGATTCCAGAATGCCACTCCTCTGAAAACTGACTTTTCCCAACACCCAGTGTCTGCACGTGGTAACAAATCCTCCTGCAATGTCGCTGTAAGGGTGCTGAGAGTGGCTGTGGAGAATGGATGCTCAGAGGCCTGTAAGCCAAACTGAGTTAGGAGAACAAACAGCAATTGATGAATTCCGAGTGTATCCATAGCAAGAAAGAAGACAAGGCCATTAGCGTGGAAACCAATTTTAAAAGATAGATGAAGGATTTTTGTAGCTAGACTACGCGCTGAAGTAAACCTGTACACGTGCCTTATTAACTTCCTGCAAAACTTGAGAAACATATTGACGCTAATTGCTTTGCACCAATGAATGCAATGAGTTATTGTGATGTAGTCAATGACTAAAGATCACTCCTTGTTAAGAGAACACGTAGAATAACGAAGGGGGAGGATGCCACGTTACCCTGCTCAAATGTATGAGTGTCAGGTGTCACCCGTGACACAAAGGGTCGCTGAAGTCCTGAAGACCCAAAAAGGGTCTCAGAAGTCCTGCAGGGGCTGCTTAGAGCTGTAAGGTGAGACCCCCCCCCAGGAGGAGCGATGGGAGCAGAGGCAGCCCCCGGGAGGAAGCACCTGCAGCACACAGGTGTGCCTTTACCTGCCAGTGTGTCCAGAGGGCTGAGCCTGTCCGCAGCATCGTAGAACTCCTCCTCGGAGCTGGAGTCCCCGAAGCCCGGCGGTGGCCTCAGCACCAGGTCGCTGTGCCCGGCGCCGCTGCCGAGCCCCGGGCCCGCGGGGGATGCGCTGCAGCACGGGCTGTAGTAGCCCGAGGAGTCCACCCCGGACAGCCTGGCCTGCAGGGCGGGCACCGCCTCGCCCTGCCCCGCGGGGCTGCCCCCGGGCCCCGGTGGCACCTGCAGGAAGCAGAAATAATCGCCGGCCCCCGCCCCGCCGGGGCTGCCCGCCGCGCACACCGGCACGAAGCTGCCGTCGGAGCTGCTCATCTCCTGCACGGTGGGCGTGTAGAAGTGGAACAGCTCCGGCCGGGAGGAAGAGCACGCTTCCAGCTCATCTTCCTCCAGCGCGTCCACGGAATCGCTGGAGCCGCTCGTCTTGAAGCCCCGGCTCCCGGTGTTGGCCGAGTCGGACGCCTCCGAGGCGCTGTCGGTGGCGATGTCACCGCGGTCGCCAGGGTCACCCCCTCCAGCCTGGGGCTCTGCGCTGCTCGCCCCGGGGCTACCGGGCTCTGGCTGCCCCTCCGCAGCCCGGCTGGCCCTGCCACGCTCCGAGCAGGAATCCCAGGAATCCTCAGAGTCGCTGCAGGGGCGCGATTCGTACCCTGGGGTTTAAAGGAACCTGTCAGCCCGTCCTGTGGGTGGGGAGGGGGCAGCCAGACCCTCCTCCGCTGGCCCCGGGGGGCTCAGCCCTCTCCAGCTCACTAGCCAGCAAGGCAAGCTGCAGCCGGGCCCTTGGTGGTGCTGGCCCAGAGCAGCAGCCCGGAGATGCCAGCTGACCCCTGGCCCCAAGCCAAGCCTGCAGCCACCGCGGAATCTCGGCACCAGGAATGCTGGAAGAGCCCTCCAAGATCATCCAGCCCAGCCTCTATCACCGGCAGTGCCACCACACAGCCCCGGGATACTGCTCGCACACGGTGCTGTTCCCAGAGCTGTTCCACCCACTTCCTCCCCATCCTTTGCCGAAAAAAAGGCGGGTTTTAAAAACCTTCTTCAGCTGAGACACGGTGCAGTTGCTGGTTTTTCTCTCCCCAGGTAAATATGGAGCCGTTTGCATCCACAAAGAGCTTGTAGTACCCAACGATGAGGCAGACGAGATCCTTTGCACTGTTCGATTCCAGCAGCAGGGTAAGCACCTTTGTTTGGTTTGGTTTATTTTTTGGAGGTGTTGGGGAGAAAAGGGTAAAAACTATTAGAATAAACAAATATTGTTTGTGCCACAGTCTGCAGGAACAGGCTGCACAAGGACAAGGCCCCCCCTCTGTCTCATACTTCCCTCAGGGTGGTTTGCAGGAGGCACAGACCAAGAAGAGTAATTTATTTTTCTCGCCTTTTGTGCCTTTGGTGTGTCTCACTGATGGAGGAAGAATCACTTTTCCTCAGCAGCAAGAATCACTTCTCTCCAGTAATTTTTTTGGTCCTACCTACAAGCTTTCCCCTCCAAGTCTGAGCCTTTAACCGTGGTGCCAGCTCAGCCCCTGAGAAGAGCTGATGGTGCAGGTGGCTCCCCTGTGCCTCTGCCCCCACACAGCCGCTCACCTTCAGGTCCTGCAGGTAGATCTTGACGGTGCTGACTCGCTCGGACTCCTCGCTGAGCTCCACCCTGCTGATGCTGGGGAACTCGGCCAGGCTGCTGACGATGTTGAGCTTGCTGTTGATGATCTGGCTCACGCCGTGCTTGGCCCCCACCAGCAGAGCCACGTAGGACTCCCTGTCCTGCAGCTGCAGAGTTAAACCTGCTTAAACCCCCGACCTCGTGTGGGATCCCAGCACTGACTCCTGGCTGCTGGGCTGCCACAGGAGCCTGCTCCCAGCTCTTTGTCCTGCACAGGACCAGCAGGGTCCCATGCCCACAGGGATGCACCTGTGGGCACCTGGCAGAGCCAGAGGTGTGCTTGGCAGCAGCTGGCCTGCTGTCAGCAGTGTCACCTGGCAGCCCAGCGTGTCCCCACATGGACCCAGTGAGACCTGCTGCAGGGTAGAAACTTCACAAAGACATTTCTGGGGTTGGAAGAACTGTCAATGCTTTCTGTTAGGGTGAGGTACTTAACAAAAAAATTGATTAATGCATGTATAATCTGGCAGAAATTGTTCAATTTGCATGTAGGTGTAAATTTGGCATTACTGTGGCCCATGGGTGAGGCCTTGCTCTGGTACAGACCCACCAACATTGCTCAGCTCCCTGTGTGACACAGCTTGTGTTTTGCAGCTCAGCAGGTGGGGACAGGCAGAAAAATCAATTGTAGAAGAAACCCCTTGTACAAAGAGAAGAGTTATCTTTTAAAATTAGGTTTATGTGTTTCCAGTATTTTTAAAAGAGTTTGAAGCCTCCCCATCTTTCTCAAGTACTTTATAACGCACAAAATATAGAGAGGGTTTATCTGAAGAATAAGAGTCACAGATTTCAATTAGAAAAAACATGCACAACTATCCTGTAGGCTGGTCTGTGTTATGGACACTTCAACGGAATAATGCTGAGTTTCTCTAGCAGATCAACATCTCCCACAATATCCCAGGACAGGGAGAAGCAGCGTGGCCAGCAGGACTGCATGCCAAAAGCAATTACATAAATAAACAGCTCGTACCATCATGGTGGCATTGAAGATCTTCCCGCTGTACATCTTCAGCTCTCCCAGGATCTGCAGGTAGCTCAGGCGCACCTGGGCTGCTGTGAGCGTATGCTGCGTTTGGAAAGAGAGGAAACACGGATTGAGGAACAGGCACTGCAGGGACATTCTGTCCTGCAGCACTGGGTCGTCAGGGTCAGTCTGGGCAGCAGCAGGGGTGGGTGTCCATGGGCCATCCCACATCCCACTGAGGTCTGGCACCCCACAGCAAAGGGCAGGGAGCTCAGGGCAGCAGGGAAAAGCCCCAGGGACAAAGGGGGAGGACACTGCCACCACGCCAGGGCTCACACTCCACCTTCTGCCGAGGGTCCAGCAGCACCTGGTTCCTCTTCAGGTGGTAGCTGATGGCTTTCTTGATGTCCTTCCCTCTCATGTTTCGCAGCAAGGTGGGGGAGATGAAGTTCTCGATTCCCCAGTCCCTCCTGGCAGAAAGAGGGGAGGGAGCCCAGGGGGTGCCAGCCACGCTGAGCCCCAGCAGCACAGGGCAGCCCCTGGGGGGCTGTGACACACCCAGTGCCCTCACTGGCTCAAATCACTGCTACCTCCACCTGCCAGGGTCGGGAGTGGGGCTGGGCAATTGCACTTCGGTGCAGAATGACCATTTTCACGTGGTGTCACAGGAGGGAGTTCACAACCTTCATCAGCAGGACAGTTCCAATCTCCCCTCTCCATCCAGAGGATGGAGATTCTGTCCTTGCTGTGGTGACAAGGCTGTGACATTTCAGCCTGTTCGGCTTCCTGGACCCAGAACGTGGGCCATGTGTGCTGCTGGAGAGTTTGCCCAGCCCAAGCATCCAACACCTGTGAGGTGAGAGCAGAGCAGCTGCTCCCTGCCCCTACTCCCTGCACACAGCTGGGCACATCTGGCTGCACACAGGCAGCCAGTGCCTGGTAATTAACAACGAGCTCGTCACCACTGCCTAGAGCAGGGGATTCTCCAGGGCAGGTGCAGTCCAGGAGCATCCACACACAGCATGGCACACCTGCTCCTTCTTAAAGCATTTTTGGTCACTTCCCTACAGATCTCAATACTTCACAGGATCTATCACTGCCCAAAACAGGTGTTTGTGGCATTTCTCCATCTGGTGGATGGAGAGGTGTACTGGCTGTGCAAAGTTGATGATTACACCCTCTCTCTCCAGACATTGCAACCAATACTGGCAGGAGCAGCCTGGGTAACCATCACTGTGTGAGAGCTCTGCAGTTTCAGGTCCCTGGCCCCGTGACAGATGTTCTGTACTGTCTAGTACTCAGGTAATTCAGTGGGTTGAGGACAGGGAGGCCCATCCTGCCCCAGAAGGAGCAGCACAACCAAGAGGCTGCAGAGCCCTTTGGGCTCCTGTGCAGAGCTAAACACAGGGCAAGCAGCCAGCTGATGCCACTTTCAGCTACCTCCTGCTCTCCCTGGGCTTAGTCACAGCAGACCACAGAAACCTGGGCACTTACTCAATGTATTTCAGGGACACTTTCTGTGGCTGGGCACAGGCGTAGATCCTCTCCTGAATGTGCAGGGCAGCCAGGCGTAATGCCACGCTGCACTTCATCTCCACTGCAAACCTCTCCTGGAGCACATCACTGCAGCTCTGGGGCAAACACAGCACAGCCATGTCAGCCAGAGCACACAGCAAGACTGCCAACATCACACCACGCACCCAGGTAAGGATACCGCCAGACAAGCACACAGCTTGATTTAAGAATTGAAGGCAGTTCGAATTGAAATTATCTGATTTTAAGTGCTCTGCATTTCACATGCATACAGTCTGAGGCACGCCCTGGGTTAAAGCAAAAATGAGAATGGGGTGAGAAGAGATTCCCAAACATGGGATGCCCCAGTGTCACCTGCAGGTACAGATACTCAAAGGCCACTGGGTCTTCCTGCAGGAGGTCCAAGGGGTCCTTGGGGATAAAGCACACTCTGAAGAGGCAGCGGTAGTCATGGGAGTCTCTTTTCTGGACCACCTGCAACAGAGAGAGGGCATCACACCACCTCCCTCCACAAGTGCACCATGAGCCTCTGCTCTGCAAACCCACAGGAATTGTTTAACACCATTGGCAAGGGCATGATGCAGATTGTCCTTAACAAACACAAGGAGACTTCACCAGTGTTTGTAATTTTATCTCTGATTCTTCATCTGTTTTTTCTTCTTCCCTGCAGTGTCCCAGAAGCCCTTTGACAGCAACACTTCATTTAAATTCCCACTGATCCCATACACTCGCAGTGTGACCAGGACAGAGGCTTTGGGGCTGTGTGATAACAGCAGGGGAAGGGGCAGGCTGCTCTGCTTTGGAGTGCAGTCACAAGACACAGCAGCCCTAAATAGACCCCTGAATCATCACTGTAATGTCAATAGGACGTCAAGACTGTGAGTTATACATCAGCATATTTTATTCTGGGCAAATCCTGCCCAGCGGAAATCCTCTGACCCGTGTGCTCAGTGGTCTGACAGCATCAGCCACTGAGGGACTTGAACTGAAGGATCCCTGTGTGTGCCCTCCCATTCAGGATATTCTGTATGATTCCATGAACCCCTCTGCAGTGGACTGCCACCAACAAACCCATCAGCACAACACCTGCCGTCTCAGGAGCTGAGACACCTGAGCAGGCACTTGCTGACAAACCAGCACTGCTGTCAGAGCAGCAGCATCACACCTTGTTTACAGGACACAAAGTACTGGCTCACAATTTAATCCCGGTGGCCCCTGCCTGGGTGAATGCCCGGACTGCTCAGGGAATGGTAAGCAGTGAGGTCAGGCACAGCTGCCTTAGAGCTGTTTCAAGGCTCAAGCAGGTGGGCTGATGTGACAGGTGGCACAAAGGATGCCACCCACAACTGCTCTCCGTGGTCCAGGCAACACCTGTGAGTACTGCTCTGTGTGTGGGCACTCAGGACGCTCCCAAAGTGCCCCTTCCCCTGGGATGTGGGGGAACACGTGGCAGAAGGGGATGGCATCACTGGGGCCCAGCTGAGCTCACCCCTCTGGTGACACCCGCAGAGCCGGGCTCCCTCTGCCCCTCCCTCTGCTCCTGGGGGCAGTGGGACACACAGGTAGCTCTGCTCACCTGTGCAATGAGCTCCTCCTCGTGCAGCAGGTGGATCTTGGCCAGGTTGTACTGCTCCTCCAGCACCAGGGCGAAGTGGGCGATGCTGCGGATGGACAGCTTCTCCTGCAGGGTCAGCACGATGTCCTGCAGGGCACAGGGGGCACACACAGCCCGGGCATGGCACCAGCACTGCTCACACACCACGGGGCTGACTGCAGCCTGCAGGGCTGGCAGAGCACAGCACATCCCAGCCTGACAAGGTGGGGAAGCTGCAGCTCTGCAAGCCCCAAGGTGTCACAGGTATCAAATCCATTTCCTGGAGCTGTCTGTCCTGAGCTGCCTCACACTCAAAGTTTCACACTTTTCAGCTGGGTGGTGTTGGGCACTTTCTGTCACCCTTGACCCAAGTGTTTGCTGTGTTTGTTATTCTGCCTTTCTAGAACTCTGTAACACTTTGGATCCCTGGAAGTGTCCAAGGCCAGGCTGGACAGGACTGAAGCAAGTGAGAGGTTTCCCTGCCCATGGTAGAAGGTTGGAACTAGATGGTCTCTAAGGTCCATTCCAACACAAACCAAACCAGTCCGTGATTCTGTGATTTGTGAAGAAACTAAAAAGAACTGCTGAAAAACACTTCTCTCCAGTAAACAAGAATTTGAGACCATAATTGTAAAAATCTTACCAAATCTGACTGAAACTGGTGTTTCACTTTGTAATAGAGATTTCTGTCAATATTCTGTTATGGAAGTAACAAGGTTTACTTCTGGCAATAAGAAAGTATCACCTCAGGTTTGATTGAGCGTAAATTGAAAGAGAAGCCCTTGGACTCACTCTTGAGGCAAGCCTCAGTGTTTGACTCACCTCAGTTTTAAGCCAGGATGTCTCAAGACACAGAGGAGTTTCTGGAAACACCTAACTTGGGAAGCATTTTACTCATTTAGGTGTTTCTGGAGGGTACTCGTGAGGGCTGCTCTCGAAAACTGGGAAAACTTGTTCCATGCCAGAGCTGAGAAACTCCAGTCAAAGACAAAGAGCTAATCCATCCTTTAGATATTAAACCCTTGGGGACAGGCATTCAAATATCTCTTTACAACTCACCCTTCCTATCCTTTCCACTTCCTTGCTTTATTTCACTATTTTCTTTTTCTACACCCTGCAAGTCAAAAGGCTTGCAGACAATTGCCTGAGAGACCACAATGGTTTGGAATGAGCTGGACAAACTCCTCCTTTTCTGAGGGAAGTTTTCACAGCACAATAAATGAAGTCTCTTTGTGCTTCCCCTTAATAAACTTTCAGCCTGATATCCCCAGAATGTCTGTCCATCGTGAATCTCTCCCACAGCATCTCCACTGGTGCAGGACCTCTCCTGTTCTTTAAGCAATCTGTGACCTCCAACCACTGGCCATGGCCAAATCTTAATTCCAGCTGAAACACTGAGCAGCTACAACGGTCAGGCCAGAAAAAATGGAGATGTGCAAGGCTCTGTCCAAGCACAGCAGTTATGGGAAGGGCTGGATCAAAGCTCTGCAGAGCACCATTGTGTTTTCAGGGGACTGATGGCAACCAGCAGAAGTGACCTGAGGCAGGATCACTCTTGGTTTAGGAGGATCATTCCCTGGGATGCTGCTCTTTCCCCGAGGGGGTTAATCAGTGCCCATGTCTCCAGAGGGGAATATCCTTACCAGTGCAGAAATGAGACTGGAACTCAGAAAACCCAGCATGCCCAGCACCAGCCAGCAATGCCAGCAGCTGGTGAATGCAGCCAGGAGGCTGCAGGTGGCCTGCAAAAACCTTTGGCTCATGGGTTGGACTGGGCTGGTGGGAGCAGCCTGCCAAGCATCCTTACCTTCACAGTGGTGCTTCTCTCAAACCTGAAGGCCTTTGTCTGTCCGTTCTCCAGGTACACCTTGAGAACATTGGGCATAAACAGGAGGGAGCTCCCCTGCAGAACAAAAGCAGCAGCTGGACCCTCGGGCATCGAGCCTGCAGGCACCAGCTGCTCTGCCTGGCACTGCAGGTCCTGGCATCCAGGAAAATCCTTCTCTTCCTTGGCAGCCCTCTTCCATGGCCCCAAGCTCTACTCCTGATGATGCTTTTGGCAGGGAATGACAGAAGGGGAGCACAGCAAATGCCTTTACCGTAACACTCCGAGCAGTGCAGCGGCTGCACGTGGCCTGGGAGCACCATTCCCTTCCCGGCGGCACTGCAGGATCCAGCAGGCACTGAAAGCAGAAAGTCATCCTCCCTGCTCATCACTACAACCCAGCAGTGCCTCCAGAAAAGGCATCTCCCCGTCCCCAGGCAGCACTGACCCGCACACTGACACCATCCCGCAGGTGCTGCCCACACCCTCCACAGGGAGCCTGTCCAACACACAGTGCTGCTCTCACTGAGCCTTGCCCGGAGATTTGTAACCCTGGCACTTCCTAAGCACGGGATGATGCCACCAGAGTGTCCTGAGGTAGGTCCCAAACATGTGAGACAAGACGAGGACAGCCTCAGTGAGAGATCTCAGTTGGGTTCTTCCAGAAGGGTCTGGGGGCTTGGGCTGTGTCCTGCTGGGGCAGCCTGGGCACCTTTGAGCCCTCCACCTCGCCCCTTCCATAGGGAATGCCTGCACCTTTGGTCCCGGTTTCACCATTGTCCCTCTGGTTGCTCAGGGCTGAGCAGGTTTACTCCTCCACTCTTGGAGCTCCTATTCTTGTCCTTTTCATGTTCTTGGGCCAGCACTCTACTCCGTCACTTAAAGGGTTCATCTGCTCGTCAAGACAGTCCCAAGGTCCCTCAATGGTGTTTCCAGGATGATCTCTCCCCACGTTACAAACCCCACAGCCTCAGTCCCCCTAGACAGAGAGCCCACACACCCTGCAAGTGCTGCCAGAGCAAACACAAACCACTTCTGGATCCCTTCTTTGCTCCCCTCATACCCCTTTTGTGGCGTCCAAGCTGCCTGCAGTCGCCACTGAGAAAAACCAAGAGACCACTGCTGCTCTTTTTTCTAGCCCAGCTTTTGTGCTCTCTAACTAGCCCAAGCACATCGTGCCTTTGACAGGTGCTGGGTCCTCCACCAGGGCCAGGACAGCGATGCTGTTTTACACCAGCTGCACTGGTAGCTCCCACAGCCACAGGTATCTTGTGAGGGGGCCCTGCCCAGCCAGCACACAGCAAACTTAACATCTGCACAAATAACCACGGCTCTCCTGGCCAGACCCAATTATCCAGCAGGAACACCCAGGGAGGTTTCTCTCTTTCTGCGAAGGCTGTCAGAAGCTGCTGTGAATTAACCCTGGAAGCTTCAGCAGCCATTCCCTTCCTGTCCTTTGGGCAGGGCTGATTCAGTTAATAACTCACTGCCTGGCGCTGGCCCCAGCGTCCCCAGGGACCTGTCCCTTGCATATTGCTCGGGGTTATAGAAATACATCATCAGCCTGCGGAAAGCGGAGGCAGGACAGCAACAAGGCTCATTAACAATTCATGCTCCCGACCTGCAGGGTCGGGTTTCAGCTGCAGAACGCAGCCGCTGGGATCCTTCCCGTCGCCACAAGGATCACTTAGCCGTGCTCCATTAGGACGACAAGAGCAGTATATTTACTGAAACTGGAGGCTGCACGGTTTGCAGGGCATAATGCTCATTTTGGCTGCCTTAGTACGTCAGCCCGTGGAAAGGAGAGCAGCCCTAAAGCACTCAGGGCTGCTGTGGCGTATAGTGCTTTTCCAGAAAGAAATCATAAATATGCAACGAATTTATTTACTCTTCCTTTGTGCTAATACTTCACTGTTCCAAACAGGTTGCATGTCCAGATGGTGAAAAGGGAACCTAACACCAGTGGGGCGCCAAGACCTGAATTAATTTCTCCTACCTCTACGCTGTCATTACATGAATAGGAATCTAAACACTGATTGTGTCCCTCCTTTGCATTTGCAGAGGTGTGATTAGCTCAGCACAAGGCTGACAGAGGCTTCAGGCAGGCACAGAGTGCAACCTTCCCTCCACAGGTGCCGTCTTTAGGCTCTCAGACCCACTGAGACCAGCCCTGCCATCAAGGAGTGGCACAGACCTCGGGGGCTGTGACACTGTGCCCAGCTCCTGGAGCAGCCAGGCAGACACTTGGGTCAGCCCCAGCTGTAAGAAAAGCTGAGTCTGTTGGTGATTTTGGGCCTGCCCGTGTCCCATGGCCAGCCCTGCCCAAATCTCTGCCCGGAGCCACTTCCTGGGCACATCCTGCTCTTCCCCATCCCCTGCCTGGTGACCTGGGTGTCACACCTGCCAGCAGGTGGAGGGGTCTGCTGCCTGGACGCCATCCCAGGGAGGGTCCCCTGCCCAGGCAGGACCCCAGACAGCCGTGTCCCCAACACCTGGGGGATGTGAACACAGCCCTGTGAGGGCAGGGAGGAGCCCTGCCAGCACAGCTGGCACACCTGGTGACAGCCTGCCAGGAAGGGAAGGATCCCAGGGTCCAGAGAGACACTGGCAAACGTCTGGAGGCACAGCTGACCTGCCCTGCCCTGCAGGAAGGAGGAGAGGGGTCCCCACATGCATCCACACCACGAGCACCCTATGGGCAGGTGACACCCATGGCACCTGTGGCTGCACCTCGGCCCATGTGCAGGGCAAAGAGAGGAAACATCTGCCCTGGGAGGGCTCTGAGCTGTACCAGGAGAGTTCCACCAGCAATAGGGAACACCACACAGACAGGAAGGGAAAAGGAAAAGGGCCCAGTGGGTGGTTTGTCATTGCTGCAAAGCAGAAAGGCTTGGTCAGACCTGGACAACTGAACGGCACTAATGAGCAGGGGGCCAGAGAGGGGCATTTTGACCACAAAGATTTTCCATTCTGAAAGACAAAAGGAAAGGTTGACACAGCTAATGACTCCCAGTTGGCCCCAGTCCACCCCAGTGAGCTGAGAAAGTTACACAGAAAGAAAAGGTGACATTCACAAGCTGCTCAACCTTTGGGCAGGATACAAGTGTTCTCACCTCTGCTACAGGCAGACCAACACAGGCACACCTGTGTGCACCCAGCTCAGCTGCCAGCAGCACCAGAACCCCGTGATGGGTTTGCAGCACCTCCAGCGAGCTGTGACCAGCTCACCTGGCAGAGGTCAGGTACAGAGGCAGCTGTGGATGCTCTGTGCCAACCCTCTGCAGGGATGTGAGGGCCCAAGCCACCCTGTCAGCTTGAGAACACCATCACACCTAACAGCAAAGCGAAGTGACCAGTGACAAGCCCTCTGGAGGAGGTGTGACATGTCCCCAGGAGCGGACAGCCCAGTTCCTCCAGCAGCACATGAACCTGGCACACACACCAGCGTTCACCTCTCCACTCTGGATCTGTCATGGCCACACTTCAGTGTGGGCTCCCCACGGATGGATTAGCGCTCCCAGAGATGACAGCTGGTGGTGGAGGAACGGTTTAAAGTCTGACGGGGGCAGTGCATGTGGGTATTTTCCATTAGTCCGGGTAAGCACATCAAAAACAAACCCTGCGGAGATGCCGGGGCTTCCTCGCTGCCCCGATCGCCTCGGGCAGCAGCGGGGGGCGCTGCCCGGACCGTGCCCAGGGCAGAGCGGCACAGGGAGCCCCAGACACAGCCCCAGCCCGACACCCACCCCCGGAGAGCCCCGCGCTCCCCCCGTGCCTCCCCGCACCTGCGAGTGCCCGTTCAGCAGCACCTCCTCCGCAAACCGCACTTTGACGGGGTTCGTCTTCAGCCTCGCCCTCTTCTCTGCCGTGAGGAACGATGACTTGGGGCCACCCTGAAACGACAGCGGGGTTCGGTCGGGGCAGCAGCGGCGGGGGGAGAGAGCAGAGCCCCGAGGAGGGCAGGGGCAGAGCTCACCGCCTGCTCTGGGGCTGCTCCCGCTGCGCTGCCCCGCGCCCACATGGAGAGAGAGGAGTTTTGGGGAGCCTCTCTGCCCCCAGCCTTGGCACAGGCCCTTCGGACGTGCCTGGGCAGCTGCTGAAGCCAACCCCGGCTGCCCAGCGAGCGGGCACGCGTGTGGCATGTGCCACACACTGTCCCCGTGTCGCTGCACAGGAGCTAGCGGCTGCGCTCAGGTGTCTGCGCACGTCATGCGAGGCACCTGGGACCCCGCAGAACAGCTGGGCATCTGCCAACAGCTGGCTGCAGTGGGGCTGTAGCCAACCCAGCACACACGGAGAGACGGGCAGCGATGGACAGACCCCTGCCCGCCCATGTGGGCAGCACCTCCCCGCTCTCCTGGGCTTCCCAAAGCGCTGCAAACCAAATTCCAAAAATTCCAATTCCAAAAATGGCCCGGGGTCACAGCGTGACAAGGTGAGCACACTGCACTGCTGTCACACAAGCTCGCTCCCGCCATGGCAGGCTCCTGTCAGCTACAGAGGACACCAGGTGGGTTCAGGAACTCTGCACAAATGGCACACAGGTATTCCCTGTGCACGAACGCCCTGTGTAGTTTGATGGTCCTCAAGAACAGCAGCAGAATCCCTCAGTGTCCTCCTACACAGCTTCCATTCAGAGCCAATCCTTCACCTGCCAGAAATGCCCGTGTCTCCCGGCCTGGCACAGCCCTGTCCTGCCATGAGGACACGGGGTAGGGACAGAGAATGGGATTTGGGAGGCGCCTCAGGCACATCCAGAGCTTCCAGAGCCCACCAGGGTGCGTGGAGCAGAGTCTGTCCCTGCAGCCCACGCCACAAGCCAGCCTGGCCCCAACACCAGGGGCTGTGAGGAGTCACTGCCCACCCTTCCCCAGCCCCCTCCGAGGGTGTGCGTGACAGCAGAGGAGGCTCAGGGCACCCTCACGGCTTTGGCCAGCCCCTCAGAGCCCGCAGCCAGCCCAAGGGTGCCGCGGGAGCCGAGGCAGGGCCACTTACGGACGGGCAGCGCAGGACGGTCAGGTGCAGCTCGTCGCCAGCGTCCCTGCAAAGGGGACACGCGGTCAGCCCGGGCCGGCACCCCCGTGTCCCCCGTGCCCCGCCGGGTGCAGGGACCCTGCGCACCTGATGATGCCGGCTGCCCGCTCCACTGACACGCCGTCCACCGAGCTGGAGTTGATGGCGAGCAGCTGGTCACCGGGCTGCAGCTTGCCCTCGGCCGTGCTCCCTGCGGGACGGGCACAGCGTGAGCCGCGGACCGCCCCCTCCCACCCTGCATTCCGGCTGGAAATCCCTCCAAGATCGTGAAGTCCATCCATTAACCCAGCACTGCCTGCTCCACCACTAACTCGTGTCCCCAAGCGCCACAGCTGCCCTAGGGATGTCCAGAGACACGCAGTGTGAGCTCCTCTTCCCTCCCAGCGCACCTGCTTCCCTCAACATCCACACCTGGACAGCAAAATAAAAGCGGATGAAGGGCACTGGGCGCTGACAGCACCTGCTGCGTCCCTGCCTGTGTCCTTGCCCCCCGCCTGAGCTTCCCTCTTCCCCATGGAAAACCCGGCAGCATTTGCCTGTCCCCTTGTCACAGCCCACCACACAATCCACTGGGAACCCACATGGGCCATGCAGCCATGGGCTCCCATCAGCAAACGACAGGGTCAGGCTTCTTTGTGCCTCACCTTTTGTGAAATGTTGATTCTTTCTGATTAGGAGAAAAGAGAACCACAGCAGAAAAAAAACCTCCACTGCTTACACCCCACAACTCTCAGATAATTTCACTGTGTTCCATGTGGAAAGGGGCATAAAGAGAAGTGGGGGGTGACAGAGGGTACATGCCCTGGTCCAGACCCCAACCACTCACACCAACAGGTGAAAACCACATGGTTTTGTGCACCCATTTAAAAAAATATATAAATAAGAAACAGAATCACAGTTTTTGAGTTACACCTCCCTTCTACAGCTAGAGGAGCTGATTTGCTTGGCTTCAGCAACAAAGCTCTCCAAGTTGCAGGGCTGAAAGCCCAGGGTCTGTTCAGCAACAGATCACTGCAACCACAGTGGAATAAGATGAAATTGTCTAAAATAAGATTAAATTCTTCCTCTGCATTGCAGATAAAACACCAGGGAGAACTTTACTTTGAGCAGCTCTCTGCATCACGAAGGTCAGCAGTGAGGGAGCACAGGTGAAGGACCCGTGGGGACACTGACATTGGCTAGGACATGGGGAGATGTCCTAGCACTCCGTGTGACACAGGCAGGGCTCACACACCACACAGGTACCTCAGGAGCCACAACCCTCTACCAGGAGTCCATCCCAACACCCCCTACCACCTTGCTGGGCTCCCAGGCAGGAGGACACACCTGCAGTGACGGATGCAATGGTCAGGGGAAGGCCTGGGCAGATCTCGAAGCCATAGTGCTGCAGGACCAGGTCCTTGTACACGGTGACAGTCACCTTGACCCTGCTGGGGGGCTGGGCTGCGCTGTCCCCGGGACTGTCCATCACAGGCACGCTGCTCCTGTGGGATCAGAAGGGCCCCTTAAACATGATATAACCAGAGAGAGTTTGTCCAAAGGCATCCACACACCTGCCTGCTCTCCAGGGGCTGCAGTGCTGCCTGGGTCCCCAGCTCTGCAGCCAGCAGAGACTCCCTGGGCTCTGCAGGAAGCTGAGGACATCACACTGGTCATGACCACAACTTCCCAGTCATCCCAGCCCAGTGGTCACCCCAAAGGAGAAGCCCAGGTGTGCCCCACCTCCATCCAGCAGCACCCTCACCCAGCAAGGCAGCGAGAACACACAGCACTCAGCCTCTGCTGGGATCCACTCCAGCTCATGGATGGGCACTCTGTGGCCACTCCACCCTAATGTCAACTCTCACACCTCAGCGAAGGAAAGCAGCTGTGGACCAGGATCCCTGGTAAATGCAACCTAGTCTTGCCCAAAAATGTGGGCCCACGAAGAGAAGCGTGACCCCACCTTCAAGAAGAGCAAGTCTCACACGGAGCAATGCTGCATTTCTTCCTCACATAACCACAGCAGAGCAAGGCAGGAACATCTGTCCCTGGAAGCCAAGGGGGTTGCTTTTCTTTTTCTGTGTGCATATCTCCCAAGAACAACGGAAACAATGAGTAAGATCTGCAGGCTGTGCCAGCCCCTGGTCGCTGGGAGCAGCCTCGTGCTGCCTCTGATCAAAGGTGACCGTAGGTGTTCCTTCCACAAAAACCACACTTACCTGGGTGTGCTGTCCCGAGAACGATGAAGCCATTTTGCTACCATTTGCTCTATTCTACATGATTTTCGTGTATGGATTAAGCTAGTCTCCAAATCTCCCATTTACCTGCAAGTGACAGAAATCACAGGAAAACAGCATGGCAGTGGCTGAGGAATTCTTCTGGACAGCTCTCAGAGTCACCACCACTAATTCCCAGCCCATCAGTCTTACAAAGATCTGTTGGCACCCTGTGAAGACCAGAGCTGTGACAGAGGGTGACACCTGCTGTGACACCCATGGAACCCCCTGCCCAGTACTTTTGGTCATACTGTGTTACCTTTCCATGGCAGACAGTGACATCTGCATTCCTTTTCCATGGATTTCATGGATCTGTGGGCTTCTTTTGGTGCAACTTCTCCCCCCCGCCCCCAAACTGAGCCTGCCACACCAGGAGTCTTCAGTCAAACCAGGTGATTGGTTTGGCACTTGTAATTACCAACATCGGTGGTAATTGCACACTCTAACAGTGTGCCTTGCAAGGCAAGGGAAGCCTGCAGCCATGCACCACTGCCAATATTCTGAGCTCTAACCCTGGGAAGAACTGCAGGCTGTGACAGAACCTAACACAAAATGGAAAAAATTATGCCTGCATCTGCCAGAAGTCGTGAGGAATATCAGCTCTTTGTATTCCAAACCCAAAACTGTTATATTCACCTTTCACAGTGTGCCTTCTGACCAGCCTAGGAGTTCTGCACGTCCTGACCTCCTCTCTGGTGTCTTCTGCTGGGACTGGAAGTTCTGTGCCTCAGGGACATGCTCTGTCATACTGGGACAGCAGGCTGCTGGTCCATGGCAGAAGTGGTGCTGTAACAGAAATATCAGTAAGTGAACCTACAAACAATAGAGATGGCTGGAAACTCACAGAAATGAGGCACGGAAAATTTTCTCTCAACAAAAACTGGACCTGTTCCACTCAGCACCCTCCCAGGCCATAGTGCTCCCCCCAGCTCACATTTTCTAATCAAGAAGGGAGGGCAGGACTCGCAATTGCTGGTGAGCTCCTCACATGGAGCCACTCCAGCCTGTTATCCTCCCCGCCTGTGCAGCCAAGGGCAGAAAATGGAGGGAATTCAGCCCTTCAGCAGTCCTGGCACTGGGCACTCCCTGGGCTTTCTTCCTAATACAACACAATTCAGCTTGTTCCTTCAGCCACTCTGCTCCTACATCCGCTCCCGAGGAGCACCTCTGAGCCACAAATGGGGACCTTGTGTTCCAGCTGTGCTTCCAGAAACTAGAGCTGATAGGATGGGAAATCTGACCCCCTCTCAGAGGGTGACCAGGAAGTGCCCACAGAGGAGCAGGAGCCGTCCCGCAGCCTGGAGCACACAGGCAGGATCTCCCAAAGGCAGCCTGGGCAGAGGCGGCTCCTGCTGGCTGTCCCCTCTCAGCCCCGTGTCCCACTGTCTGTGACACTCGTGTGGCAGCGGCTCCAGCCGTCCTCTGGCCTTGGCTTCACCTCTCTGCCCAGCAGCACAAAGTGCTCTGCCTTTCCCACTCCCCTCCAAACGCCCCACGGCTCCCTCTGAGCCAGGGGACGGTGGTGCCTGCGGGGGCTGCTGGTGTCCCCTGCTCAGTCCTTCTCAGGTGCTTCCTCACCACCTCCATCTCCACCCCTCACCCCTTCCCCACTCTGCAGAAAGGACACACTTTTCTATCTGGCCTTCACAAAACAGAATTTCCACAGGAAGTCTCTTAACCTGTAGGATAAGGAGGAAAAGTCTGAAGAACAAGCACAAACATTTAAAACTCCCAGGTGGAATAGTAAGGAAAGAAAACATGTTGTCCTCTCAGGAAACTGGAGTGTTTGGGCCAAACACCAGGTGTCCTAGAGGAGGCAGCTGGGCAGGTATTTCCCTAAAACAATGCACAGCACCAGGAGCAGCCTCTCCCCACGGCACACACCGAGCAGGACACGGTCACCAGGGTTCCTCACCTGGCACCTCTCCCCACCCTGGGATGTCCCACAGCAGCTCCAGCCCACGCCCTGCTCCCACCTGCCTCTCTGCAGCTATTTCTGAGCCAAGCCCCTGAGCACATCGCTAAGCAGCTTGAGCTGGGATCCTGATACACAGAGATCCTTCAGCTTGGTCAGAGGGAGCTGGGACTCCAGGGGGATTTTCATGGCCACCTGACCCTTCTGGAGAGCCACAGCTCAGTGTCTGGAAGGAAACACGGGTGGGTGGCTCTGGGGCTTCAGGAGCAAAGCAGTCCTGAAGCTCAGGGCCCACACCAGAGTGTGCAGGCACCAGTCAGGACATGCACAGCACAGATCTGACCAGCAAGGAAAAAAACAAACCTACATTTGAGGAGAGTACTTCAATATTTCATGCAAAATATTAATTCATCAAACTGAAATTTTTGGACGGGCAAAAGTTTTTTGTGGCACTTTTGATATTACATTTTGTTTTAGGGTATTAGTTTGCAGCAGAGCGTGGCAGCAGGACCAGCACTGGGGACCAGCAGCTCTCCTGCACCTGCTGACAGAGAAGTGTCGATCAGATGTTGCCATGAGCTGCTGTACAACCCTGGATGCTGTCCACTGTAACCTCATTCACAGGGGCTGTTGGAAGCATCTCTGCAAGCACTTCCTGTAATGGGTGCCCATCAGCAGTGAGCTGGATGGGTCTGGCTGAGGGAGGAACGGGTCAAGAGCAGCCCTAGGAGAAGGATCTGTGGGTGCTGGCCCTGAAGAACTGGCCATGCCCTGGCCATGTGTGCTGGGACCCAGAAACCCTCCCTGTGCTGGGCTGAGCCCCAGCGTGGGCAGCAGGGGAGGGGGATTCTGCCCCTCTGCCCTGCTCAGGTGGGACCCCACCTGCAGAGCTGCCCCAGCCCTGAGACCAGCACAGGCAGGAAGGATGTGGAGCTGCTGGAGCCAGTCCTGAGGAGGACCACAAAAATAACCACAGGTGTGGAACAGCTCTGCAACAAGGAGAGCTGACAGAGCTGGAGTTGTTCAGCCAGGAGAAGAGAGGGCTTTGGGCAGACCTTAGAGCCCCTTCCAGTGCCTCAAGGGAGCTTACAGGAAAGATGGGGACAGATTTTTAGCAGGGTCTGCAACGACAGGACAAGGGAAGATGAGTTTAAAGTAAAAGAGGCCAGATTGAGACCAAATATAAGCAAAAAACAATATCAAATGAGGGGGGACAAGCCCTGGCACAGGGTGCCCAGAGCAGCTGTGGCTGCCTCTGGATCCCTGTCCAGGTTGGACATCGGGGCTTGGAGCAGCCTGGGACAGTGGAAGGTGTCCCTGCCATGGCAGGGGATTGGATTAGATGGCCTGTGAAGGTCCCTCCCATCCCAAACCATGCTGTGGTTCCACGATTGCACCTCCTGTGTCTCTGGAGACACACTCTCACACTGTGCAGCTCCAAGGTGAGGCAGGGCTGGTCCCTGCCCAGGCCACCCCAGCTCACCAGGTATGGTCTGCTCCTACCCAAAAAGTCAGAACATCCCCATCCTCCCAGGCAGGGAGAAGAAAACCGAGCTTGTTCTTGACAAACGTGGCTCTGAGCTGCACCAGAAGACTCTTCTGGCACGACTGAGCGTCTCTGCAGCAAAGCTTTTGAAGGTCAGCCAGGTCTGGTGAGACATAAGGACAGAACAGTAACTCACCTATTTTCCACAGAGCTTCTAAAGATGTTCTTGGAGATACAACCAGGGAGACAGCTGAGCCCAAGAACCAGGGTTAAAGCTCTCGTGGCACTCTGTGCTCCCACCACATTGGCTGTGCATGTACAAGGAAGAGAATTCTTGCAAAAAGAAAATTAAAATAGAAAACAGAAGAAAACCCAACAGGCCATGCTGTCTGATAAGCTGTGATATCTGCCTGGTTTTTGAGGAGAGGAGCTGCACTCCTGGGGGGCTTGCCCAGACTGCCAGACACACGTTGCTGCTGCAGCATGAGGGTCACAGGCACAGCTGGGGACACTGCTGCCCAGGGAGGGTCCAGAACAGAGTATGTGTGTGTGTGTCCTCACCCAGTACAGCAGCACACAGGAAACACTCCTGCAGCACTGTGTGACACTGCCAGACGTCAGTAATGGGATTGAGCTCCCTGCAGACCAGTTTATCCCCCCATCCTCAGGTCAGCTGCCATCTGATCACTGCCAGGGCCAGGGTAGGACTACTTCTGCACCTCAGGGCGGCCAAGCTGCTCCTCTGGCCTTCCCTGGTTCACAAAGAGAACCCGTGCTGTGCCAGAAACCTGTGATGTTCAGTACTTCTGTGTAATACCAGGCAAAGAATACCCACCAGCAACACAGCCCCTCCTCAAAAAACAATTTTTAAAAAGCACCGTTGCTATTTAATACTATTTGAGACCCAGATTTTTTCCCTATAAACAGATCCTGCCAGGGAAAAAAAAACAAACAAAAAACCCCAAAACAAGCAAACACACCTCACAAATAAAAATAAAATAATTTTTAGAAATAAAAATTAATAAAAACCCCACAACAACAACCAGCCCCAAACTCCATCCAGCTGCTGTAAATCAGGAACCATCAGCAAGAGAATTTGGCCCTTGTCAGCCCAGGGAAGGCAGGAGAGATTCTGCACCTGCATGGCCCCACTCTCCTCTCCCAGCTGACAGTGGTGAGGTTTTACACAGACAGACTCTGGCTCCCAAGGAGCAGAATTCGTTTTAAAACACGAGTTTCTGAGCATGCCAAAGACTTCAGGCGCCAAAGAGAAATGGTTTCAGCAAAGGCCACACATCCTCGACTGGCTGGGGCACGAGGGGAGAAGCAAGAATAGCTTTGTGCATGGTGCATTACACACAAACTGAAGGAAATGATAAACAGAACGTCCAAGGTGGAAAGGAGGAAAATCAATACTTCCCTCCTGAATAGCTTTCACTCCTAAAAATAGACTGGTGTGGAAGAGTGTGAAGACTTTCCTCCCTCCAGCTCCATCTCCCTGGACAAGAGCTGGTGGTGCAGAAGGAATGTTTCCTTCACAGCGAAGGAAAGAGCTGCCTCCCAGCACGTGGATGGATCCTCCTCCCCATCCCCTGCACACACAGCACCAGAGTCGAGCAGCTCGCCCTCTGAGAAGCACTGCCATGTCACTGACAAATTGCACAACAGGGGGAAAAAAAACAACAAAGAAACACCCCCCCTAAAAAAAAATGGTTCTGTGAAGAACTCCATATATTGTCATTGATCTCTGTATCCTGCTGCAGGTCTGGAACCAACCAAAGTGCCAAAGTGTCTCGGTTGCCAGAGTGCAACCAAGTGGAGTTCAGCACTCTGGAGTATTCCCGTGGCCTTCCTGGGACTCTCCAGAGAGGAAAAACTCAAGTTCAGGCCAGGCACCTCAGCAGGTTCCTCTACACCTGTCAGTTGAGGTAATCCTGACATGTGCTGGGAAGCAACTTTGGCGTGGCCTTTTGGCAAATGTCAGGAAAGGAAGAACAAGACTAAAGGAAAATACCCGCACTTAAGAAATATTGATTCAGGAATGTCATGCCACATACACAGCCATATCAGAAGAGCCCGGAGCTTCTCTCCAGCTCTAGAAAGTCAAGCTTTCCACAAAGAGCGAGCCCAGAACCCTGAACAGCATTAAACAACTGACAGCAGATAGCTCAGCAAGAATTTAGAGGGTAATTCACTAAACCTGACAGGAGCAAAACCCAGGATAAATTACACAGCAACACACATGGAAACCCGTGCCATCTGCCTGCTCCTGAAGGCTGAACAGGGGAGGCAGAGAGGTCTGG